GCTAGAAACTCTTAGCTACGCCCTTGGGCGCTGAAACGCCTAGCTACAGGTAAAGTTTAAAGGAAAATGCAGCTATATCTTTTAAAACAAGTTGCCAAGACCATTCTTTGATTTTAAAAGCTTGCCTTCCTAATAATGAACCATATTTTAGAGTTCCAGAAGGTGTGTATTTTTAATTATGGCAAAGCACACGAGGGCTATCTGCCTAAAGGGAGGGATGCCTTTCGTGGAGGACTTTCTAAGGGAAACTGGCTCGTATACACGTTACACATGGGGAAAACCACGAAAACGCCCATGCAGCCAGCCCGTTCGCGGGATTCGAACCTCAGACCGAACTACCAGTGTTCAGCGTCTTTACCGGTCGGCCGCTGGTGGGCCAGTTCCAGAAGGAAAAACATCGTTGCAATCAATGCTGAGTAGTTGTCTCTACCGACTATCAACTATGTCTAATCTAGATTGATTTGAAAATTCCAAGGGAATATCAGAAACACGAGTTTCACGACGAGATCAGAAAGAAAAGAAAAGACGAGTTTGCCTGAAGCACTTTACTGGGTGAAAACTTCTCAGCTGTTTTTAAACTGGAAAAATGCGCTTAAGAAGTTTTCTGCGAGCACTTTTTATGAATGAGTGATATCTTTCATAAATAATATTTTGGAGATTCCAATTGAAATTTCATTAGATTTATTTGCCATACGAAATAAAAAAAAAAGGAAACATAGTCAACATTCTTACATAGTTTTCTGTTGGTAAATAAATAGATGGACAAGTCATGTCAGGTGCGAAATTTATATATTATTCAAGGTAAATTATCCTTCTGACCAAAGAACATGTGAAATCTCAAAGTTCTTTGAGAAATTTTCAGTGACAAGCAGGATCACTTTGTAGGGATATTATTATTTTAATTAACCAATATTATGATTTAGACCTTCGCTGTCACTTCTTCTTTCCGTTTCCACGAGAGAATGCAAATTAGTTCACGAGTATTTAAACTGAGATTTTTAGATTGTAAGACAGAGCGTGTTCTGCCTCTCGAAGACACGTACTAGTTGCTGCTAGCTCAGACAAGATTTGTAGTTTTCGACCTTATATTTTAATTACCGATATTTGAATATCCACGCCGATCAGGTTTGTGAACCAATTTCGTGTTAAACTAAATCGTGTAGTCTTCGACTACTAATTTTTTTTTTTTTTTAATTTCAACTTAGTTATTTGTTATCTCGCCATAAGTGCTGCTGAGTTGTAAGCACCAGGTGTGTCTTCTGTTCTTCTTTAGTTTTTAATAAAAGGGGTCTGTTACACCTTTTTCAAGTCTCAGTTGTTATTTTAAACTTAGCCGTAATTTACTGTCAGTAAATCTAAAGTTTGACAGAGACGTAGCTAGAAGGGGGCATGTGTCCCTGAGCATAGCATCGAGAGGGCACCAAACTGATATTACGAAATCTAGAATTAAATGTTTTCCATACTTGGTAAATAGGAGGGAGCATGAAATCTTCAATTGTACCCGGTCGCTGAAAACCCTAGCTGCGACTCTGAAGTTTGGTTGAAATTTAAGACAGCTAAAAAGACAAAAATTTTATAGATTTGAGAAAGTAAATGAGTGCTACAAATGTTAAATACAGCTCATTTGTTAAATACGTATACATTTTGGGCAGTTCTCTAACTGGATATTTATTACATATTGATGATGCAATCTGAAAATGAACATTTAAGGAGTTTCACTTATTAAGAACTCTTTTGATGCACTTGCTCCTTGCTAACCCTTTAGTTGTAGAGAGAGGTATCAAGTGAAGTTTTCCCAATCCTTTTCCATCATTTATTTATTTATTTATTTATTTTGATAAAAATGGATATAAGATTCTAAGATTCAGACCGGTGAATCAGACCTAATCATGTAATCTGGATTAGATGGTATTTCTTCGAATGCATCTGAAGTAGCTAAGTGCACAGAGTGGCAGATGCATTTAATTATTAGCAAATATATCTTCTTCCATTGACGTAAAAACTGAATGTTGTTCTCCACAAGATGCTCCATCAGTCTCAATAGAAAAAGAATTTCCTAAATAATTAAAACCAATTTTATGAAAAAAATCTTGTGCGTGTACATACAATGCATTAGCCATAGTTTTTACATCTTCAACAGGCCCTACAAGCCGTGTCGCTATTTTATTTTCTTTTAAATTAAAATAATGTACACATAAGCATAGAGGTTTGGAACATGAAATATCTGTAGTCTCATCCAATATAAGAGAAAAGGGATTTTATTAATTTTAATTACTTGTTATTTGAGCAATTTAGGTGAAATGGCTTTCTTTATCAATGCTGTACACTTTGACCTGTGTAAATATAAAGTCTCAGATGACGAATTTGACAGCATTTCTTTCTTAAAAATATCATTCAAAGGGTCGATGAATTGCATGAATGCACGACACGCAACAAATACAATAATTTTCAATTGAAACTTATATTTATGTTGCTCTGCATATGGAAAATATGCCGTTTTTAGTATGAAAATTAATCTGAGATGAATTAAAATAAAATTAGAATATGTTGAAAGTTTTGTTTATGCTTTATGGAAGTACCATGCTTCATTAACTAAGCTTTGTGTAGCCTCGGTGACACAACTTGTAATAACTTATCCTTTCTCAAAAATGGGTATTTTAAGCAAAGCATTTTGAAACATGGAATTAAGACAGACAGACAAAGTAGACAGATGTCTTGTTTTGCACCCGCTAAGTCTTTCTGCGCCGATGGGCGAAAAATCAAGCATAGGTGCGAAGGAAAGGTATATAGAAAGAGGGCAATTTCGAGATTTAGAGGATAGTAAAAAGGAACTTCGTATTGTTTTATACGAGTTCAAAAGGCCCGAAAGAAAAGTTGGGACAAAATAAATTAAAAAATAAATGGCCCATAGTGAAATCGAGAGGACAGAGATTTATATATATATATATATATATAAAAGGGCCAATAGAGGAAAAGGAAGAGAAGAAAAACCTAATTTGCTAATACGTATGAGTATGATGACGCTGGAACTATGTGATGAGTGTAGGTAAGAAATTAGGTAAAAAATATTTACACGATATACAGGGAGAGGGAAGGAAAAAAAAAAAAAACCACAGGTGAAAACATAAGTACATTATGCAGTAAGCATGTCGACTGTGAAGTTTTATAAGTAGTTTAATTGTCACATTATTCTTTCATATATAGTACGGTAGTCAGGTGTAGAGAGAAAAACAATTTATAAATAAATAAATATATAGATAAAAATAAATATATTTTTTAAGTATATAAACAAGTAAATACAGCATATAATCATGGTAGGAGAACTTAACAACATAGAATAGTTATATCTAGTTGCGCATAGAAATTATCATATACATAACTTCAGTAGGATTGAGGAATTACACGTTTGATAGAAATGCAAAAAGGGGGAAAAAAAATTAATAAAAAGAGAAGAAAAATTTAGACTAATTTTATTCATAAAATATAAGGATGAAAGGTAATTATTGAAAAAAAAAAAATTTTGGGGGTGGGTAAAAAGGAAAGTTCTTACAGTTTTGCAGGAGTGTCTCAAACCAATTTCCTTGGTTTTGGTTCTTCTTGTGTCGCTTGGCGTCCCGATTTCGATGTCCTGATCGGCTCTCCCGAGAACTTGACGATGCCAAAGAACTTTGACTTTCAGTACACTGGAATCTAAGATATCAGTCTAGAATGGTTAAGTGCATGGATTTTCAGAAATCTTTGGGACAGAGTCTAAATCCAAATGGATAAAAGGAATGGACAGAGAGGATTTTGTTTAGTAGGGAAAGGGGGAGATAGAGTGGCCCCTTTCGAGTTATTAGAGAGAAGAGAAATATATAAGGTAAAAATTATTATAATAAGAGGGGAGAGAGACCGGGAAAGCTTGAAATATCCATAGAGTAAAGGGAAAGCGAAGGATGGTAAGGTCAGGAAAATTCAGAGAATGTAGCATTAATTCATATATTCGTGCAAACTTGCCCATGTAAGGTGATTGATAAGATTTCTAAGAGTAAGGACAGATATATGTGAAAAAATGTATAGATAAGTGCGTCTTGAGGAGGAATATTTTGAGAGCAGGATTTGGAGATGGAGGTAATATGGAAGTAGAATGAAGGGAGCAGAAGAGCCGGAGATCCGGAGATGAATATGTGCATGACCTATTTCAGAATAGGAAGGTAGAGCAGATAGAGCAGGTGATGAGCTGGCGTGGTGAAGTGAAGATATAAATTAGAATAGGAAGAGAGACATAAATTTGGATATTTACTTATTTCGGAGGTTTGTCGGTGCTGGTTGTAGGGTGTTGGAGGTGGCTAGGAGAAGAGTTTCTCGGTTGAGGAACGTTTGTCGAGTAGTATTTTTGTCTCTTACAGAAGTAAGTGCTTTGGACTCTCGGTCTTGTAGTAATGCATAGTAGGGAGAGAAGAAGAAGAAAGTTGAGTATAGTGGACAGATGAAACATGGAATTAAACGTTACTCATAATCCACACTTCAGTTAACACAGCAGTTGTATCACACAAAGATTTTGCATGCCTATTCGCAGATCACGAAAAGATTAAACAAATGTGCAAACTTATTATGTTCAAAACTAAAACACCAGCGACTAGCGTTAAAAACTGTATGCATCTGCTCTATTATCTTCGAACTGCCAACTTCTGTTAAGCCTAAATAAATTTGTATTATAAATTAATTTAAATAGATACTTTATAAATGTTTACGATACATTCACAAATATTTCACAAATCGCAAAAAGTAGCACAAGGAAATGATGGAGCAGCAAACATTTCGCAAAATCGCACGCACATAAATTTTGCAGAGCAGGTTTGCCAAAAATTGGCAAATTTGCGAAAAATCACGTGATCTGGCAACACAGCTCCAATATTTGCGAAATTAAAAGAGAGAAATTTCATTGGCCCAACAAATGTCGCCAAATGTTTTCATACTAATTATCGCCAATGTATCTCCCGTGTTTTCGGAAACTTCTCTGCCGGTGGAGATACCGCGTTTTTCGGCTGTACAATGAAAGGAATTTCCTGTATGTACTCGATCTGACCTGAACACGGGTTTTTACATGTAAAAGTCAGTTAATAGTATTTTTATGTTTATATATCGACAGTCTTTAACAATATATAACGTAAAAATTGATTTGACGTTTTGTGAAACGTATGTAAACAAATGTACGTAATTTTTTTTTACATACATTTGTTTACATATCGTAAACTAATAAATGATGGCATATTAAAAAGTCATCTAAAAAAACATACAGGAGTTTCTTTTTACAGGGAAACATGTATTGCTTTCATTAGAAGAAAAAATCTGTTTATTTTTTGTTTACATATCGTAAACAAATGTAGAATTTCAGTTTATTGTGGTGTTTACAACAAATTACTGTTTTGAGTCGGTTGACTTCAGTATTCCAGATCTTTATCCTGTGTATGAATATTTACTGAAATAGATTAGATGTTGTATATTATATGTACCTGCTAAAAGTTTAGAAACTGTTGCTTATCAAGACTTAAGATTTGGATGATCAATGCTTTTAAATACTTTTCTGTTTGTTCTAAGACCATATTTGTGTTGAGCAAAATGACATACACTGTGCTTTTTTTCTTTCGTGATTTGTTAAGCATTATCGGAATGAAGGGATTTTATGGCAAAAATTTTAGATTAATTATAGGCTTTATTTCAGTAGAAATTCATCTTTCCATGTATTGATTTATGCTGAATAATTGTAGAAAGAAGAATGCCGATAGTGTTTTCTCTAATATTGTAAAATAAATGCGTCACTTTCTTGTACTTTAATATTAAATGCTCTAATATTACAAGAATAATTTCTGGATTTCTGTTGCATTTTATCTATGATTGTTATGAGAGTTAAATGAAGTTACATGTTTTTTCTTTTCAGTTCATTATGGATTTCTTCGCATGTAAGATAATATTGGATGCTTTTCGAACTGTGTAATACAATGGGTGATATGCTGATTGAAGAACCAACTAAAGACTCTGTTTTTGAAGTTTCTGGGATGTTGCAAACTTCATTTAATAAACTTTTTGAGTTTCTCCAAAAGGAAATTCTATGTGATGTTGTTATCAAGGCTGGAAATAAATCCATAAAATGCCATCGAAATGTTTTAGCAAGTTGTAGCCCTTATTTTCAAGCCATGTTTACTGCTCCTTTAGTGGAAAGCAAACAGCATGTTATAACTATTGGTGATATTGATGAACTTGCGATGGAAATGTTAATCAAATTTGCGTACACAGCAAAAGTTGAACTAAATGCATCAAATGCTCAAGCATTGTTACATGCATCATCAGTTTTACAGTTAGATGCTTTAGCTCAGGCTTGCTGTGATTTTATGAGCTCACAACTTCATCCTAGCAATTGCCTTGGTATTCGTCAGCTTGCTCATCAACTTGGACAGGTAGACTTGGTAAAAAAGGCAGATAGCTATGCAAAATATAATTTTAGACAAGTAGTCTTAAATGATGAGTTTGTATCAATAAGTGCTAAACATTTAGAAGAACTGATTTCATCCTCAGATTTATTTGTGGATAATGAAATTGAAGTAAGTATTCCTTTTTTTTATTTCGTTGTTTGAATTTTGATTGCAGTGTTACTATATTCTGTTTCTCACATGATACAATTAATGAAAATTTATAATTTCCCTTCTATAATATGAGTATATATTATAGGCATATGTAAATCAGAATTTTTTGGCTATATATTATTTCTGTTCAAATACTGTTTTTAGTTCTACATGATTTCTGTTTAAAATTTTCGGTAATGTTCTATTATAAGGACTGGATCTAGAAATGTATGTATGTATTCTATGCATGTGTACACACACACATGCAACTGCATACATTTTGGAATCCGGTCCCAATAACAAAGCAACATGAAATTTTGTAACCTTTTCCAGTCAGAATAGCTTCTGCCATCCTTAGCCTCACACATTTATTATTTTATTTCCTGGAAATATTTGAGGTGATTATTTTAACAGCAAAGAGCAAATGTTATTTTCTCATAAATGTACTGTTTTTTTTTTTACATTGGAATTAAAATTTTAAAACTAGTAAATGATGGCATATTAAAAAGTCATCTAAAAAAACATACAGGAGTTTCTTTTTACAGGGAAACATGTATTGCTTTCATTAGAAGAAAAAAATCTGTTTATTTTTTAGCACTAGGTGAAAAATAGTATTTTTTCAACAGAATGTAAGATGAGTAAAAAATACCATGTATGAGAAGAACACTTAAAAAAATTACAGTCAGAAAATTGAAATTATTATTGAAAAAGGCAGTCACTTTGAGATAGAAATACTTTAAACTGTAGATACTTATTCTAAAAATCTCTCCTTGGTGACGCTAAGGACAGTTCTGTTTGCTTTCTGATATTTCATTCCAGTTCATTTGCTGATACTTCATCTCAGTCATGCTATTTTTAACAATTGGAAATTATTTCATCTATACACTGGGATAGTTTTACAGTTACATAGTCTACAAACTGAGACAGCTGTTAAGTGGATAAAATTCTTGAATGTTTAGAATTTCATGTGGCTTCAGCTCCTGATAGAATAATTCATTTCAGCGAGAGATGCACATTTAATTTTTTTCAGTATATTCTATAAAATCAGTTTCCCTTATGAAGTTATTTATAAACTCATTTCCTCTCAAAATAGACATTTCTATCAGAAAAAAAAATTGCTCATAAGTAGGTTAATTAATATAATTTTGGGGATAACTTATAATGTGCATAATAATGATATGTAATAATATGTGTAATAAATAATTTTTTCAATTTTTAAGTCATCTTTTTTTTTTTTTTTTCCCTTGTCTAAAAATCACCAAGGTGGTTACACTAATATACGTAAGTACCAAAATATTTGGTGTGGATTATCTGCCTATCACTTTTATCAGATTTTTTGCATTCTTGGGTGGAACCAGCATAAAATTAATTCCATTGAATTTCTAAATGCCAACTCTATGTGTCTACAAAATTAGTGTATTTTATGTTAATATTCTCAGCAAGAACAAAATAATTGACCAGGACTGCCACCACATGTAGTGTGGCTGCACCGGGCAGCAAAATTTTCAGTTTAGAAAGGAAACGAGCAGGATTTTGATGTCTGTCACAGTGTTTGCACAGGCAGCAAAAAGTTAAGGGCTGGCCTTGTGACTGACTGTACACTGTGCGAAATCTGTAGATTTACGAGTTCAGCAATGACTAAAGGTCTTAATATGAATTTTCTACAGAAAAAGTTAATTATTAGAGTAATTAATTGTTGAGCTAACAAGTTCATTATGCTTCTGGGCATTGCTGTATTCTGGTGTATGGATGATAACATCTTCCAATTATTAAAAAGAGGAGAGAGTACTGAAAATGATCGTCCATCTGTGAAATATCTCTGAAGTAGGATTCAATAGTAACCGAGGAAAAATTATTAGCAATTTTAGAGTAATGTGAAATAAAAGTTAGTTTAGTTTGAAATAAATGTTAGGATGATGATTCATGTTGAGGATTTTCATTTGTTTGTTTGTTTTCCTGAATCATCACTAAAATATTTATAATAATGTGTCGTTCTATTTAATTTTTTTTTGTTTAATGTAACTTCCTTTTGTTTAATTGTACACTTCCTTTTGGAATGGCAGCGTGTACATATACTCCTCTCTTTTCAACCTACACCAGAGCATATCTGTGATTGTCGACATACACCGGTGAGGGTCCGAACGTACAAGAATATAAAGAAATATTTGATCTTTCACCGACGTATTTGGTGAATGTTGACATTCTCCGGTGAAAGTCGACATTCTCTAATTTCGGTTTTTCACGGTAACATATATGTATATATGTAAGATAAAATTATATGAATCAAATATAACTATAAACATTAATTCTTCCTCTATTCTAAATCGTAATAACTTCTCTGCATGCGTCATTAAATAATCATGCATCTTACGTAACCGTTAATAAGATGCCTCTTGACGACCAATCACCGAATTGCAAACAAAAAATTTCACGTGCTTCATCTTAACTACCGGCTCAGCTTTTGCCCTCTACTCTGCTGATAAATGTAATTTCCTGGCTTGTTTCCAAAAAAATAAAAATGTGGCTGTGGAAAGGCACGACTAGAGTGCCAAGTGATTGTGGCCACAAATATCAATTGGAAATAAAAATGGAATTAAAATCGCTTCTACTGCCAAGTTTTATTTACGAAGTCAACATATTAGCTTACGACGCAATCAGATTACTTCCTCTTCATTATAGGATAACTACGCATCTACAGTGTTCCATCCTTTTCTTGTGTTTTTATTATGACAATATGACATATATATTGCATCATACGTTCTCGCCGAAATATGTTAAAAATTTTTCTTTACATAGAATTGATGTATGTTCGGTTTCATATTTGAATTTACGAGTGTTATGATACTTCAGTTTATCAGTGTAATTATACATTACATTGAGATTTAATTATGTTAGATAAAAAAAAATCTGGTTCATTTATTAAATTTTTATCAGGATTTCAAATCTGCCAAACCCCAGGTATGGTTTCCTGGCTAAGACTACTGATTACTGTTAGTCCGATTCGCATTCAAACCCAAGCAAACAAATTAGCTGCATAGTTGGATTTTATGGTTTCCCCATGTGTAACATGAATATGAGTCACTTTTACTTAGAAAGTCCTCCACTGCAGTGGTGGCTTGTGTATTATTGAAATGGAGGTTCACAAAACAAATACAAACCACGAAACTTCAGTATGCAGCTATGGCATAACTTATTAGTTAAAATACATATACATTTTCACTAGTTAAAGGAAAACAGTGCAAGTAAAAGAAAACAAGCTGTCGTCGTTAACATTTCATTTCTTACAATGGAATGTAGTAAAACCACAATATATTGCTTGCAATATACCTTTGAACGTTGATCACAAAATAGTTTAATATAATTTTTGTAAATTAAATCCACTTGTCTTTTTTTTTCTTGAGACAAACAAATCAATAAAGTTTTCATTGAATTTAGGTAAGTCATTTATTGTGATTTTTTTTTTTTTTTTTTTCAATTGAGAGCATGGCTAGAGTGCTTAGTCTATCCTTTCACATTATACTTCTTTAAAATGTCTTAACTTGTTTTAGAGTTGAGAAGCATCCCTCAGCTTCAGCAGTGGTTAGGAAAAGTAAACATAATTAGCAGCAGTTTGTAGATCTCTGAAACTGTAGGCTTTAAATTGTTTTCTATAATAAATTGTAGACGACTAACGCTGCATTCATGTTTAAAGCGTAAACCAATCAGAAGCGAGTTCAGCACTGATTGCCGGAGGGCAGGGGAGACGCGTGATTTGATTTACCTTCAACTTTTTATGATTACATGTCAGTTTCAAGAATCTCAGTTCAAACTTTCAGTTCTGCCATGGTGTTAAATGATTCACTTCAAAACTCTTCTGATGGGGGGGGAGAGGTCAAATGGACTAATCTTAAGAAAAATTAAGGATAATATTAAAAAGAAAGCATATGCTAAAGAAGAAATATCTTTTAAATATTTAAGGAAAAAACGTTTATTAGCAAAAATAAACTTAAATAATCAACCATAAATGATATGGTTGATATGTTATGAATAATCTAATTGTTGAGAGAAAAGAGTGATGGATTTCGAAATTCCAGATTTTGAATTTTTCTTAAAATACATCTGCATCAATTTAAAGTTGCACTTGTTGACTAGTGGATAAAATGTTAGATTCTTGAGTTAAAGATTTTGGATTCAGGCATCACCAGGCATGGTGTTGTATTGGAATTGGTATTTTAAAAAAAATATTTACAGAAAATATATCACTAGTTTCAGCTGCCTAGATGCTTGTTCAGTTTCAAGTTTAAAAACCATGCTAAGGTAACAGGCTCAAGCTGATTCAGCTTTTACTAGAGACTTGTATTGCGCGTTCGGGCCTTGCTTTTTCCTACCTTTGATGATGGTACGAATACACCATTTTTTTTTTTTTTTTTTAATTATCTATCCCAACATTTTGGGGGGGACACAAGAAGTTTTAACTGGCTACTATGATCTGATACTGTTTCGGCTGACACGAGACTAGCAAAAGTGGTACTGGTATTAGTATAAAGTTGCTGTTTCATCTAATTAAAAAATTTAGTGAGTTCTGAATTTTAAACAATTGGTGATAAGTAAACCATTTGTTTAAAAAATTAAGAAAACTGGGTACTTTTCTGTTTTGCCAGCGCAGGCGATAAAGTCACCAATAATGGGCAACTGATACCAAACGGAATATCCTCGATGGTAACCTTTAATGCCTCGTATTTTCAAAACAAGACGCAGCCATTTGTTATCAGTTTGTTTCTTTCAATACTGTCATACAATTACATAGAATTTTTACCAGATAGTTCATTTTTATGCCCTAAGGCCATTTGCGGTAATTAAGTCAATTAGGATGCAATCACACTGCTTACCCAAAGCTGAAATATAGAAAAGGACCAAAGAAAGGGTAAATTCACGTTCTAATAGAATGCACTAGCGAAAAAGCAGTGATTTACATAACTTCTGAGTAAGCTATTCTTACG